TAGCAGTGAGGGCCCAGGTGAGGTTGTGTGACATAAATTTGTAGTGAATCCATTTAGAACAGTTAGGTGATTTTCTTCACCTCTGTTTCACAACACGTTTGCAGGAGTTAAAGAAAGTGAATAGTAGGAGTGATCCAAGGCTAAGGTTTGGGTGTGTGAAATCATTGGTATTAATGGGGCTAGGGACTGAAGAGAAGAGGTTTTTCCAAACCTATTCATCCCTCCTCAAATGCCACATAACTCCCCCGTCCCTGGCCCTCTCAGCTAAGAACCTTGCCTCGTACTTTACTCAAAAAATTGAGGCCATTCAGCTGAGTGCTCCTTCTTATTATCTACTGCCTCATCGTATATCACTCAGATGCCTTTACTTGTCTCACATTACTCCTTGCCAAGGCAAACTTCCTGCCTGCACAAGTGATCACATTCCATCCTGTCTCCTTCAGTAGATTGTGGCTTCCATCATCCTTACTGTCTTTCTCTTACCTCAAATCTCTCCTTGTCTACTTCCTTACTGCTGATAAACATGCTTATGTCTGCCCCATCATCAAAAAATTCACGCATGAGCCATCTATTCCTGCTCTGGTCCTATACCTCTTCTGCAGCTAAACTCCTTGAGAGGGCTGTCTGCAATAGGCACCTAGACTTCCTTTCCTCTCACTTTTTTCTTAACTGTCTACAATCTGCCTTCCAATCTCATCATTTAATTGAACTCATTCAACTGAAACTGCTCTCTCAGAATTTACCAGTAGTCTCTTAATAGCCAAATCTAATGGCTTTTTCTCAATCCTCATTCTTGAATTCTCTGTAGCTTTTGACACTTATTGTCCTCTTCTCAATACTCTCTTTTCTCTCACGCTCCTGGTTTTCTGTCTACTCCTTCTCAGTGTCTTCTTGATCCAGGTCACACCCACTAGCCATGAGTCTACCACAGGGCTCTACATGCATGTCTACAGGAGATTGTGAGCACCTCAAGACCTTTGCCTTACTTTGTATTTTTAGCACTTAGCTCAGTGTCTGACACATAGGAGGCACTTAATAAATGCTTACTGACTTAAGTCACATTTTTAATCTAATATGTATTGTATTAACATATTTTGCTACTGTGAGGAAAAACCTTAAATAAAGATTTGGAGGTGAAAAACACTTTAGGGTTCATCTAGTCCTGACTCCCTCATTGTACAGATAGAAAATTTTGTGGCCCAGAGAAGACAGATGAGTCTTTCTTAAAAAGTAACTTATAAAAAGTGTTTTTTTTTTTAATGGTAGCCTTACTTGGATTTGGAAATATTGTCCATTGTTAGAGCTTTACATATTTAATTTTTCTAGACTGAGTTTGTTATAATGGAATATTTAAAAATTTTTTTGTATGGGAAAGAAGTAAAGCTAAGTTTCTGCCGAATTTCTCTTACAAAATCTTACTTTTCATGTATACCATGACCTCCAATCCCTTGACTCCTTATTTATCTCCCAGGCCATCTCCCCTGCACTAGCTATTCTCTCCTGTATTTCCCATCTTGACCCCTTGGTGACAATTTTACACTGTCCTCTCTTGAATCCCTAGTCCGGGATAATTTCACCAATTACATCCTGCCAAGCCTCAGTCGTGGATCAGTCCCACCATTTGCCACCTTTACTCCTGCACACATGTGAGGCTAAATGAAGGTGAAGAAAATCAGGCAACTGCCCTAACTGGGTCTGCTACAAATTTGTTACATTACCTCTATGGTTGCTAGGTGGTCCTACTTGACTTACCTCATCAGCTTACTATCCTACTTTCCCCCTCCACAGTGGCTCTTCTAAACCTTTTCATTCCCCCTCAAACCTCCCATGTCTTCCCGTCCCTCCACTCTCTCAGCTGAGAGCTTTGCCTCATATTTTACAGAAAAAAATTGGGGTCATTCACCATGAACTCTCTCTTCTCCCCTCTTCTTTATATCCTATTGCTCAGATGCATTCTGCTATTTTACTTCACTCCTGTCTCAATATGATGAGGTGGCCTTACTACTTACCAAGGCCAACCCATCTACTTGTTCAAGCAGTCCTATTCCATCCTGTCTCCTCCTACAGATTGCTGCCTCCATCATCCCGTCTTTATCACTTATTTTCAACCTCTCTCTACTGGTTTATGCCTTATTGCCTACAAACATGCCCATGTCTCCCTCATCCTGAAAAAACCCTTACTTGATCCTCTGCCCCTGACAACTAGTCTCTTCTGCCCATTTTGGCTAAACTCTTCAAAAAGACCATCTACTCTATTCTCACTCTCTTCTTACAGTCTCGCTTCTGACCTTATCATTCCACTGAAATTGCTCTCTCCAAAGTTAGCAATGATCTCTTAGTTGCTAAATCCATGGTCTTTTCTCATTTTTCATTCTCCTTGACCTCTCTGCAGCCTGTGACACTGTTAATCACCTTCTTTTCCTTAATACTCACTTTTCCCCAGGTTTTTGGGACACTACTCTCCTGATTCTCTTCCTACCTATCTGACCACTCCTCATCCAGATCATGCCCTCTAACTATAGGGTGTCCCATATGGATTTGCCATGGACGTGTCTTCTATACTACTTTACTTGGTAATCTCATCAGCTCCATGGATTTAATTATTATCTCTATGGTGACAATTGTTAAGTCTACCTATCCCACCTCTCGGCTGACCTCCAGTCTTGCATCTCCAGCTGCTTTTCAGACATCTCAAATGGGATCTCAAACTCAGTACGTCCAAAACAGAATTCATTATCATTCCCCTTAAACCCTCCCCCCCTCCCCCATACTATCCCTATTACTGTAGAGGACAACACTTTCAAATCCCTCAGGTTCGAAACCTAGGAGTGATGCTCTTAGGAGTTATCTCATTATCCCTCACCCCCTACATACAATCTGTTGCCAAAGCCTGTTTATTTCATCTTTGTAGCCTGCTGGTGGGTCTGTCTGCCTGTCTTCTCTCTCTACTCCACATCCTCCATTCAGCCACTAAAGTGATTTTCCTAAAATGCATGTCAGATCATGTACTCATTAAATTGTAGTGACTTCCTACTACCTCCAGGAGCAAATACAAAGTCCTCTGTTTGATATTCAAAGCCATTCATAACTTAGCCTCCTCCTCCCTTTATAGGCTTACTACATTTTATTCCCCACAATGTATAATTTAATCCACTGACACTGTCCTCCTGGCTTTTCCTTGAATAAGATATTCCAGCTGTCAGCTTCAGGCATTTGCTCTGGCTGTTCCTCATGCCTGCAGGCTTTCTTCTACTGACCTTGGTGGCTTCCTTTAAGTTAAGTCTCATCTAAAATCAAATCTTTTATAGGAAGCCAGTTCCAATCCCTCTTAATTCTTGTGCCTTCCCTTTGTTAATTATTTCCCATTTCTCCTGTCTGTAGCTTGTGTATATTTATTTGAATGTGGTCTTACACATTAGATTGTAAATTCCTCGAGGGCAGGGACTGTCTTGCTTCTTTCTGTATCACCTGTGCTTAGCATAGTGCCTGTTAGATAACAGGTGTCTATTAAATATTGACTGATCATAAATTTGTGCTAGCTAATTTCAACTGAGGCCCACCCACCCCTTTTTTGCAAGGCAACCGTCTTACACTTCCTTAATTAATGAGACATGGTTGAAGCTGTAACAAAGAAGACTGAGGGGCATTCAGACAGAAAGGAGAACCAAGAGACACAGAGGCTTTAAAAGGAAGTGTGAGAAGAGTAAGTAGAAGCACCTATTGTAGACAGCTTTTCAAGTTTAGTTGAGAAAAGAAGGCAAGATATAGGACAATACCAGGTAGGAATCATAGGATCTAGCGAGGGTTTTCAAAAGATGTAGGAGAACTTGAGCATATTTGTAGCTAGCTGGAAAAGATACAGAGAGATTAAATATTGGGGAAGGGGGTAATAGAGTGGCTAAAAAGGTACTGGGAAGGGATTGAGGGTACATGTGGAGGTGCTGACCTTAATGAAGAGAAGGGCCATCTTTTCATCAAAGCCTGGAACAAAAGAGAAGCTAGTGGGACAGTATCAGGGATTGAGAGGAAAAAGAGAAAAGGTCTCAGCAAGTAGCCTCAATTTTTTTGTTGTTAAGATATGAAGATCATCAGAAGAGAAGGTATGGGCAGAGTGGCATGAGAGGCTTGAAAAGAGAAGAAATGGTTCAGACCAGCTGCTATGGTGAATGGGATAGGAAAGTCAGTTAAGGAGGAATATGATAACAATTGTCTTGTAGTGAGAACACATTTAAAATTGGCATAAATGTATGGTATTCCCTGTTACTATGATTTCACTATTTCTTCCATTTCTATTTAGCAATTTGTTGAGGAAGAGCAAAGGAGAAAGATGGTGTGTAATCCAGGGTTGGAGTTTGGCAAGGCATGATTGGTGTGAAAGGACGGGGAAATAAGAGATTCAAGAGAAGAGAAAATATAGAATTGAACTGATTCATAGAAGATTGGGAAGGCAGAAAATAGTGATGGGATAGCACTGAGAGCTAGTGGGATTGGGCAGGAGTAGGTGTGGGGTAGGTTCTGAGAGGTTTTTTTTTTTCCGATACATTGATAATATCTGAATATGGGAGAGACTTTGAAATTTTCTAAACCAACTCATGAGCAAATCTTGTATTTTTAAAAATTTGTAGCCTCACATATTTCTTCCACATAAAGCTAGTGACAAAGGCATTATGGTGTAATGCATAGTGGACTTGGAGTCAGCAAAACCTAGGTTTTTATCCCTCTTCAGATACTAGCTGTAAGACCCTGAGCAAGTTACTTAATAAAATACTTTACTAACTCTAATACAAATGTGAGATATTATTTTAAGGGGTCTATGTGTGTATGTGGTGGCATATAGGATTGAGAAGCCAGACTTACTTAACTGCCTTTTAAAAACTTAAATTTCACTGATATTTTTTTGTATTATTCAAGAATTGCTTTGGTTTGCAGAAATATAACTTCAAAAATTTATTATTTGAGACAAAAAAGTTCTTTGTACAAATTTATTATTTTAATTTCAGTCCTCATTGCAGTCATGAAACCTGATGAAACACCTATGTTTGACCCAAGTCTATTGAAAGAGGTGGACTGGAGCCAGAATACTGCAACATTTTCTCCAGCCATTTCCCCAACATACCCAGGAGATGGTTTGGTTTTGAGGCCTCTTTGTACTGCAGATCTAAACAGAGGTATTGACTGATTTCACATTTATTAATCATGCCTTGATTGTTTTACTCTTATCTGTGCTAATGAAAGCCAACTAGCATTGATACAGATGATAATATTTAAGGTTAATATGTTCATGATGTGTTTTTGTGCCTGCATTTAAATATTGTGTTCAACATTAGATACACAATGAAGATAATTCAACAGGAATGGTAGAGATACACCTTTTCTCCTCACCCTTTATTCTTCAAATGTCCTTTCTGCTGGGAGGAATACCATCGTCACTTTTGGCTTCTGTCTCCCCTTGAAATAGTTTATTAATAAGTGCTTTGATTAAAAAGGAACCACAGATATCTTTTCAGGTTATAGGAAATTACTAAGTAGACAAGGTCTTCTTCAACTTTTTCTCCAGTAATATTTTTCTCAGATAAGCCACACTATGGAAGTCTTAGGCAAAATAAAACTGATTATACATAAATTGTTTTCATTCACCAAATTAAGCAAACTGAAATATCTAAACCTAGAGCAAAATGGTTGTCATGAGCCTTAAAGTAAATATTTCCAACTTAAAGCTGAAGAATATGATTTTTGCCGAGGTCTATTCCTGTGGCTACAAGAATGAAAAAAAAAAAGATTTTGGCCTTTGAGAAAAAGCGTATTTGTTTTTAAAAGCAGTTTCTGTGTTTTGGATATAGTGTCATAAATTCTGAGGCAACAAAAATAGTCATGTATTATGTGATAATTGGTGTCATTCATGAATGCAATCCATTTGTATTTCATTTCTTGAAAAATATAGGTGCTATTTTAAAAAAATAAATATTGCCATTTGAGAGATGTATTTATAGGGTTTGGGGGGGGTAATGGTGGAAGAGGAGTTGTGATTACATGTAAAAACACAGACCTAGGTTTTAGTTTCTTCCAAAATACACCTTTGTTTAAAAAGAAGAATCTGTCATTTTATACGAAATTTCTTTTTTTGAACTAGGATTTTTTAAGGTGCTTGGTCAGCTAACAGAAACTGGAATGGTCAGCCCTGAGCAATTTATGAGTGAGTACACATCTATCAATCTTTATTTGAAAAGGAATAAAGGGAAGATAAGTTGTTCTTTGTATGGACTTTGTTCTGCCCCAGTGTGCCTATATTTGGCAAAACTGGGAAAACATAAACAGAAAAATTAGTGAATTGTTTATTATATATGGCTTACCTTAGTCTAAAATTCAAATATAACAAAGATTATCTATCTTTGGATTGATACAATTCTCACCCTGGCTTGGGAAGTTTCTCATGCTGTATAGATATCGTAGCATAGGTTCCATTGAATGTACATACTATTATTGCCTTATCAAAAAACAATAACTATTTGTTTTAAAACATTTTTTAAAATATCATCTCCATTTGAGACTCTAGGTCATTTTTTGTAATACGTGATTTTTTTTCCTCCACTAATTCAAATTTGAACAGATGGCAAAAGTCAAAAATGTTCAGGCGGAACTAGTGCTTCTGTGACCTACTAAAGTTATACATCATCATATAATGACATCTTTTCCTATTCCTGCAGGATCATTTGAGCACATGAGGAAATCAGGGGATTATTATGTTACAGTTGTAGAAGATGTCACTATAGGGCAGATTGTTGCTACAGCTACCCTGATAATAGAACATAAATTCATCCATTCATGTGCAAAGGTATGCTTCTCTTATTCCAGCCTGTGAGAGTAGGTTTGACATTCCTTGACAAAATAGGACAAATGCATTTAAACAATGTTAGTGTTAAAAATAGCTATAGAAGAGCAGAGAGAACTTGAGAGTCAGGAGAGGCCTGGTTTCAGATCTTGGTTGTGACAATTATTAGTCTTGTGATTCTAGGCAATTCACTTAATCTACTTGAGCTGGCTTCCTTTAGCTTTAAAATAGGAATAATACTTTTAGTCATTTACTCTATAGGGTTTTCATGAGAAAAGTGCTTTGTTAATTTTAAGTGATGTAACAAATGTCAGCTATCATGAATAATTTCCATGAAATGTATCTTTTTTCAGTGACTTCTTTTGTAAAATTAAAAATCTGTTCCCCTGGAAAAAATTAGTCCCTAAATACAGCAAAATTATACATAACAATTAAAATTGGTCTTAGTGTATGATGATAAATACAAAGGAAAACAAGGCATGCAGTGAAGTAAGGACTAAATGGACCAAAAAGACTCAGAATTGGGTAAAGAAAAAGATCAAGTCATGTGCCTGAAGTCCTAGAAGCAAGTATCTAGAATACATAATAGGGAACTATTGTTACACTTATTGCTACCTTTAAAGGTATCAGTACTCTTCCAAAAAGCCTTATTAATTTTAAAACATTGGTTAATGGTTCTGAGGAGAGTTTCTGAGCTTAAGTAAATTGCACCTGAACTCAGGGGCAGAAGTGGGAACAAGATAGCAGACTCAGGATGACAGCATGTGGCTGGCTGCTGTATTATGCGTGAGTTTCAGCAGAGAGGAGTTTCTGTAATGCAAAATTATGACTAAATTATTGCTTATGACTAGAAGTAAATTGGTGCTAAACAAGGCATCTTCCTATGATTATAAAGACATCATTTAGACCCAGAAAGGTTAAACAATTTGCCCAAGGTCACCTGTCATAAGTAGCAGAGCTGGAATTTGAACCCAGGTTCTCTGATTCTAAATCCAGTACTCTTTCCAAAATGCTATATTGCCTCCAGGAATATTATAGAGGCAAAAGTACATAAAATTGTATTCTGGTAATGCCATACAAGTTTATAAACAATACACATTTCTCTTTATCTGACTACTTATCAAAATAGTGTCAATGATGACTGTTCACTTACTGATTTATCAGACAAAAGGTTCCTTTTTTAAATAAACACAAGGATAAATATTTTCACAGAGAGGAAGAGTGGAAGATGTTGTTGTGAGTGATGAATGCAGAGGAAAACAACTGGGAAAACTGTAAGTATTTTGCTACAGAAACTATCAATTTTGGGTAGATTAGGTGTTCTTCATACATAATGGAATTCTTGTCAAGACTGAATTGGCGGAGAGCTAGGTGGCATGGTGGATAGAGTACTAGGCCTAACGTCAGGAAGACTCATTTTCCTGAGTTCAAATGTGGCCTCAGACACATAGTAGCTGTGTGACCTCGGGCAAATCACTTCAGTATCTTTGCCAAGAAAATCCAGAATTGGGGTCATGAAGACACCACTGAAAAATGACTCAGCAACAAGAAAACTGAATTTAAAAATTCTTGCAAATTGATTGTTTAAATACCTCATTTGAAGTTATGTTATAGTTTTATGTTTATATTTAAAACAAAAAATATTCATCAAGCTAGTTTTAGAATTCCAGCATAAAGTTAAATGAGCTATACTTTTTGTCAGCAACTTCTAAGATATCAGCAATAATTGGCAATAATTATTAGCAAGGACCAGAGGACATTGTAATGTCACTCCATGGTTTTAAAATCCTGGAAAGGGTGCAGGACTCACTGTGCTACCATACTGTCTGTCTTGGCAAACAGTTTTTCTAAAGACCAGCCATTAGTCACTGAGGTATAGCAGAAAGGGCAGCAGGTGTGAAGTCATAGGATTTGGGTTCAAATTCTGGCTCTGCTGCTTGCTACTTGTATGACTTGGCACTCAGTAAACCTTTTTGAGCTTCAATTCTGTGAAATGATGAGATTGGGCTAGATAGCCTTTAAGGTCCCTTTCAGCTTTAAATCTGTGATACATTGTCTTTTAAAAAGATTAAAATTTGTACTTAAATATATGAGAAATACCATATGGGTTTGAGTAATGGTCCATTCAATTTTGTCTCTTACATTGATACAGAAGACAAATATGGGAGGAATGTGATTATTTCCTGTGACATCAACTTCAGATTAAGAGATTTATCACAAATAGCCTTAATTATGAATTTATCATCCACACATATATTCAAACCTATTGTAGGAATACTTTTTTTAAACCTTTTTCAAGATTGAAGGAATTGAGATGGATGGAACTTCTCAATGAGAAGATACTTATCTAAAGAGAAACAGTTAACAACGAGGCAGAGAAAATTGTTGCCTGAAGAAAATGACGGAACTTGTTGACCAATTTAAGACTGTTTTAAAAACAAAACTTAAATATTTTTTATTGATGCTTTATAAAATTGCATTCATTCCCCAATATAATCCTATGAATCTTTTATAACAGATTTTTAAAAGGATTCAAGAGGAATACGCCAACTTAAATTTTTTAAGAACAAAAAACATGCTGAAGTATATTGAAATAAATGACCATGGAGTTTGTTGTTAGTCATGTCCAACTCTTCATGACTCTATTTGGGGTTTTCTTGTCAAAGATACTTGGAGTGGTTTGTCATTTCCTTCTCCAGTCCATTTTATAGATGAGGAAACTGAGGCAAACAGTGACTTGCCCAGGGACATGCAGCTAGCATCTCAGGCTAGATTTTTGAACTCTGGAAGATAAGACTTCCTGACACCAGGCCCAGCACACTGCCTAACTGCCCTTGACCATGGAAAGTAGGAGCTACTCAACTTGTGTTTACTTTTTTTTCAAAAGCTATCTAGAATTTTACTTGCTTCATGTTCTAAGTTGGGTTTTTTAAAAACTAGTTTTAATAGTTCAAGTATAAATATTTTAGTTTCTAGTGTGTTGTGTTTTTTTGGCTAGGCAATAGGGTTGAGTGACTTGCCCATGGTCACACAGCTAGTAAATGTTGTGTCTGAGGCTGGATTTGAACTCAGGTCCTCCGGAATCCAGGACCGGTGCTCTATCCACTATGCCACCTAGCTGCCCCTGGTTTCTAGTTTTAACATTAAGATTTTTGTTTTTTTGGCAAATTTAAAATATTTGAAGCAGTTCACAAAATACTACCATCTTATTTCCATAAACTCTTTTGTATTTTTTTACATATGCAATAGGAGTAACATCTAAAAATCTTGCCCTTGACATAAAAGGGGAGATTTAGTTATTTCATATATAAATATTAATCACATTTTATATTTTAATTTTGAGAAAACTCTTTTGAAAGCACAGAATCTAATTCATTTAAAAATTGCATGCTAATAAAGGGCTGCCATCAAAAATTTGTCTTTCAAAAAGCTGTTCAAAATCACATTATTCTTAGAATTTATTCTTCTTTTTCAGGTTATTGTCGACTCTTACTCTGCTAAGTAAAAAACTGAACTGTTACAAAATTACCCTTGAATGTCTTCCACAAAACGTTGGTTTCTATAAAAAGTTTGGATATACTGTATCCGAAGAAAACTACATGTATCACAGGTTTCTAAAGTAATGATAGCAAGAATCGTTTTTAGAATGAAAACAAAGGAATTTATTGCAACTAGGCTATTCTTTTAGAAAATCAAAGTATTTTATTGCTGCAAAACAAGTGACACCTCCCTTGCCCCCATAAAATATTGGACAAAAATTTTAGTCTACAAGTTTGGCATATTAGAAGATTAAATTGGATTGGTGGAGCATGCTGTGATAACAGACTATAAATGAATGTTATGAAGGAGATGACTTTTAACCAAAGGAATATATTTTTAACTTGAAATTTTTCCTGTATTTTTCTAAAATTGGGTTTTATTTCTTTGTAGTCAAAATGTAGAGTATCTGTTTACTATCTTATTTGTTTACTATCTTACTTTTTATTAAAAAGAAACAGATTGTATAAGAGAGTATCCTGTAGTGTACAAAATTGTTAACTAGTTTCCTTAATTATAATAAAAAACAGAGATGGGTTTAATTGCAAGCTGACTACTTAATATTAAATAACTCACTGAACACATATATTTTGGGGAGGTAATAATAATAATGTTGGCAAACATCAGATTATAGCTTTGTAAAAAATTAAGAACCTTTCATTTGAAGTATTTTAATTTGATGAAAACCTAGTAAATATTTGGTGGAGGGATGAAATGATAAGATTCAAAGTAAGAAGTAGCTGTTTTACCTGTGAAATTTAACGTAGATCATTTTATCCAGCCATGTCAAATATAATTTAATATCCACTGAATCTAGGCATCTGATAGAGGTACTACACATTGTGTAATATCCTCAGTTTACCCCCTTTTGAAAAACATCTGTCTCATAGTTTTTCACTGATAGATACAACATCAAGTCTCAGCTACCCTTTTGATAAACATTTTATGGGAAAATCACATTGCTTTTGTTGCATTCATAAAATTTGATGGGGATTTTCTCAGTGATAATATGCACTTTTTAGTGCTTGCTGTTTTCTGATTTTATTTTTAATATCAAATAAAAATGTAAAATTACTATTCAGATGAATAGTAATTCTGTTGAATAGAATTGTAAAATTTTTCATATGTTCCCTTCTAATAATTCTTGAATTTCTAGGTCCTCAGGTAACGGTCAGTGTTATTTATTAGCTGTTTGCAAAATAATTAAAGTTCATCTGTTTTCATCACCTGCTATTGTATTTGCTTCTCATCCCTATCAAGATGGCTAGTACTTTCCTGGATATACTGTTTTTTAGATAACTTTTAAAGAACCAAGTAAGCCATTAAAAGCCATCTAGTTTTTAGGAAAAAAGCAAAATTAACTGATTCACACTTGGATTTGTAGACATGTAAAAAAATTAGTGAGGAAAACATGCTGGAAAGAAATGAAGTGGTGGAGCAGTGGATACAGCTTTGGAGTCAGGAGGACCCAAGTTTAAATCCAGCCTCAGACACTTGACACTTACTAGCAGTGTGACCCCGGGCAAGTCACTTAACCCCAAATGCTTCACCAAAAAAAAAAAAAAAGAAAAAGAAATGAAGTGGCATCATAACAAGATAAGAGGAAAAATCACACCCAAGCTGGAGATTTATTAAAACTTTACTCTCAATGATTCACATCACTAGACCCTCTTAGTCGCAAAAATCCAAGAGAATCTAAATTCTAAGCTATAGACCAAGGAGGATAATTTATTATTCAAGTATTTCAAGTATTCAGGTATTCAAGTATTTGAAGGGACAAGGAAGAAGGTTCAGATTTATTCTGCTTAAAGTCAGAAGGCAGTACTAAGCAGTGAATAGAAGTTGCAGAGGGGCCAGTTTTGACTTCCCAGTAATTATAGACATCCAAAAAGAAAATGGAATGCCTGAAGTGGATTCTTGCTTAGGTACTGGTTGGACTACATGGTTCCTGTGGTCTTTTCCAACTCTGAGTTTCTGTGATAAAATAATTCTGTCTGAATAAATATAACTTAGCAGCTTTGGTGATTTTTAAAATGTAGATTAGATTTAAAACTGAACTGAAACTAAAATATTGAAAAAAATCCATTCACGTTTTTACATATCTGGAATTTTAAACCAGTCTGGACCACATTCTTAGGAAAGGTATTTAGAAAATGGAAAGTTTGAACCATTGGATGTACACTACACACAGTATCAACAGAAAATATAAAAAGTCATTTATTCATGATATCAAGTGGCTAAAATCAGTTTTAAATGAATAAATTATTTTTTTCAGACACAGTGGCACAAGATGCTAAATATTTTGTATGGAGTTTAATAGTTTCACAAAATAAATTTTTAGTATCTTGTGCGAGAACTATTAGCCTCTTGCACTATGGCATTCCTATACACTTCAATACTTTGTTCAAGATACATTTGTTAAAAGCAGGATAAATTAAACACATTACAAAGACAGGCTGTTCTTTTTGAATAATTTTGCTGCATAGTAAATTACAACTAGATGTCAGTAAAATGTTAGCAATTCAGGATGCACCTTGAACTGTGAGGTATGACATCTCCCTATAGGAGGAAGCTAGCATGTAAACCTGAATATTTTAAGTTATTTTTAGCTGCCATGAAAAGAAACTCCAGCATTCAAAAACAATTGAAATCCCAGGGTCCTGGAAATTCTCTCTCTCTCTTTTTTAATGAAGTAAACACTTTCCTTTTAGGAGTTTCAGTTACTATTTTTGAAAGCACAATGATCCAGATGAACACTAACAAGAAATTTTGGTTTAGTATGTAATAACTTTCACCAACTGTCAAGTTATGCAGTTGTAGACCAACTGTACAATAAATTGAGGTCCCGATATGTATATCCCAGATTTCCAACCCAAGATTTTAGCTGTTTCAGACAACTCAGCTGAATCACTATGAATAAAAAGTTAGAGACTTTTACAGGGAAAAAAGGGGAAGGCAATATTTAACATTTTCATATAATACCTCTTAGTTCTCCTGAAAGATAAGATCAAAAACTAACATTCTGCTTCAAAAGTTAATTACTGGTGAGATACTAGCAAAAGCTCTTTCTGTTAAATTCCTCACCTTAAGTAACCAGTAAACAGAAAATAGTGTCTTTAACTTTTTCTAGACTAGAGAGAAAGTACCATGAACAAAATGACCTGATTAGAAAGCAAGAAAATTTTTTAATTCCAACATTTGAAACATAATAATCACTGGTAAAATGTTACTTTCTTCTGCAATAAAGAATAGTAAAGTAGATTTTCATGCTGCTGTGTGCATATGTGTGACTGTGATATAATTTTACTTTAACTTCACTATATATGTCCTAGACTGGGCATTAAGTCACATTGGTTGAAAAACCCTAAAGGGCCATATATATATTCATCATAAAAATTATAATGTATTATTTTTAAAAGTTCTCAGTGCCATAGGTCATAGGCCTAGTTCTTTTCATGCATCAAATTTACATGAAAAATTTAGATCATTAAATATCAATGAGAACAAAGGAATCACAAACTAAAGGCTTTCCTGAAGTTGAAAAATGGAAGGAAATATTCCATGAAGGAAACAAAAAATTAAACAACATTCAACAGGACGATGAGATTTAGAAGTACCAGAATGAAGTTTGCCTGTAGGCATTTCACTCTCAAGACAATGACAGTTTGTGAGACACTGTTTAAACTTAAGAGTGCTGCAAAGGCACTTCAGTGATAGCATATAATCAAACAGCAAGAAAACTAAAGGACAAATACCTAAACAGAAATTAATGGGTACATTTAAATATGCACTTCTCTAAACTATTGGAAAACAGTTTAATAAATACCATAGTAATAATAAACTAATAAAAGGAAAGACAAAATTAAGAGATAAGCCTAAACTTCTGGACCTACACGAAGTATTTTTAAAAATTATTATTTTTTTAGACAATTGGGGTTAAGTGATTTGCCCATGGTCACACAGCTTGTTTTTACTTCATTAAAAGTGTTTGGCCTGAAGCTAGATTTGAATTCGGGTCCTCCTGACTCCAGGGCTAGTGCTCTATCCACTGCGCTATCTAGCTGTCCCTTAAAATTATTTTAAATGCAAAATGACTACAGAATGAAGCTGCAGTATCAATTACTGAGAATATAACTAACAATAAGGGCTAGGTGACATTTATTAATGCTATAGTGATCCAATTAAAGCAAAAGCTATCACCACTTAGATTTTGGTTAAGTCTCCAGTGAAAATCTGCAAAGTAATAAATTGCACTAATGCTTCAAAATGGAATAAAACCAGTAGGAACTGAACATCTAGATTAACCTGCGGTTTTGTAAAATTATACCTTTTTTTAGTGATGATTTTAGATATTTAAAAGATTATATAACTCATATAACATTCACAAACTGATTCACTATTTCATTCATTCATAGGAAGCCAAAAGCATATACCAACTAAGTGGGACAACATAAAATGTCTTAGTTAACCTGAAATATTAAGTAAACTATTCTCCCAAAATGTTGTATGATTTAATAACGTATGTTTTTACTGGCATTATTCATGGAGTTTGGGGAGAGGCTGGCAGAAGAAGGAGGGGACAGAAACAAAAGGACAGTCCAAAATAACAAGGGATAACAGGTACCCTACAAGAGAAAATCCATTAAGCACCCAAACATAAGCACTGGGGTAAGTTTTGTTTTTGCTATCCAACAAAAATAAAGAATGAAAAGAAATTTTGCTTCTGTTTCAATATTTGGAAAAGCAATAATTGCTATCGTATGTACCTTTTATATTTGTAAGTAAGTAAAAATATTAAAACCAAAGATCCATAAAATGTGCTTGCTTAAAACACTTATTAAGTAATTAAGCCAGAAACCATTCCAAAAGTCACTGCAAAGAGAAGCTTCAATCTGAGAATCTCATACTCATAAAGATAACACAAAATGGGTTGGGAAGAATGTGGTCCATTTTAAACAATTTGCTTAAATTTTTATAATAAGCTTTTATACTTCCAGTTTAAAAACTTAAGATATCTAAAAATAATGAAATTTTTTGTAAACATTTTCATTGTTCCTAAGTGCTATCCAATTTGTAGGCCACAATAAAGCTAATTTTAGAAATAATAAAAGGCACTTTTCTACTTCTTAGAATTAAAAAATAAACAGTATGACAGCGTACATGTTGTAACCTGTATTTGGAATAGTTCTGGAGAAAGAAAAAAGGCTAGATACTTTTCCAAAGAACACAGATACACCTGGCTTTCACCAAAAGAAAATCCAAACAGAAAAATTCACTTGAAACTTCTAACTCAATCTTTTTTTCAGAAATACCAGTGTTACACTTGGCAAAAGGAGGTATTTTCCTCTTTCATTAAGTTTTACATAGGCTAGCCAATGCAGTGATGAGGGAAGGTGAACCAATGACATGATTTGAAATATATTGCAGAAGTCCAAGGAAAGTTTCCAAACATGAAAGGGTGGTCAAGGTCCATAAACTTTTTACTCAAAATGTGGCAGATTCTTGCATTGATATTTCTGTAAGAAGTCCCACCATAAAACTAAAAAAATAATAACTGTAAAATTATTTTAAAAATGTATAAACACAAAATGAATTTTAACAAACTTTTCTTTAGTAAATTGTTATAAATTACAAATAATTTTTTATAAACAAGCCTCCCCAACTTGCATTTTGTTTTAAAGTAATAACTTTATATCATACAAATAAAGAAATTTTCAAGTATGAAAAGTGCATTATTGCAATAATACTTCTTTGCAAGTCCAAAAATCTTGTTTTATAATAAAACTGTAAAGTGTAAAAAAAAAAAAAAAAGAAAACAATCAGTGCCATCTATTCAAGAAGTCCATCATTTCTTAAAATGTTGCTTAGCAAGTTGCAGAGAAAGACATTTGGAAGCAACATGTAATTGAAAAGAAGCTACTTGTGTTTTTCTCATTTTACATTATTAATGTATTTTCCCCTTCACATACAATCAAACACTATAAATGTTGGTCTGAGGCACCATCATCCATTCTGTGCAGCAGCAACTTGCATATTTCCAAATTCCTCTTCTTCTTCATATGTACGTTTCAAGCTGCCTGAAAGTTATTACATAAACAGAACATAAACTGGGCTTTTAAATAGTTCAATTATTAGCATGCATTCAGGTGTTCCAGGAACATCTAATCCCATGTATTTAACTATGAATAGTCACTGGGAGACTGAAGACTTGCATGGCAGAGTAAAGTTTTTTACAACTATTTTAAATTCTTATGTGAGATGTCTATCTTAAAAACTGTGTCCTAAAATACTTTAAAGAAAGGAAGGAATTGTGGTTTTATAATGTTTTGGACCTTTGTGCCCCTAACAACTAATTTAAGTCAGATCTTTCTAGAAGGAATGGAAATATGGAAAGTCTTCTAGTATTTTCAGGGATTTGGGGGAAAATAATATTCAATTTAGGCATTTCATTTTTTTTACATTATTTTGTTATAATAGTGATGTACAGTGTATACAGTATATTAAGTGCTGCTGTAATCACTACTGCCAAAGAGCATGAGAAATCATTTCATAGTTGCTACCTTTAGATGAGGAATCTATTACATTCAGGAAGTTTTCTGAGATATAGGCAACTTTTAAAAAATATTCTTTCAAATATGAGCCATTCAAGTCACTAAAAGTCAAAAATTTCCACAGCTATTTAGAATGCTCCCTAACAAAAAGCAAGAGAAATTTCTTTATCTCAACAAAGGAAAAAGTGCAGGGAATGGAGTGACAAATTAAATAGGTCAAGCGAGGCAGCTTCATCAGCAAATTCTCTTGCATTATATCACTTGCAGTAGTTCCAGAGAATAGTCCCTAAGGGCTGTGTTATAATGGGGTAGGTACTAATGAATATCCTATGTTAGTTCAATGGGAAGATTCAAACATGAAAATAACTGATCTTGTACTCTGATAAAATATAAGAGATTAATTTTTCATAGGAAACATCTTTACCAGCAGAAGAACTGTTTTATCTACTTTTATTTTCTAATATTCATTTTCTTGTTGCTGTGTGTGTACTAGAAGTCAAGAGACCTGAATTCTAGATCTGGTTCTACTATTAATTATGTGACATGTTTAACCTCTCTCACTGAGTTTCCTTATCTACAAAATGTGGATTTTGTAGGGAGGGGAGGTGTACATAATTAGACAGTCAGCCTTTAGGATGCAGAGTAGTTGCCCAATCTGCACTGGTAAATTCTGATCACTGAGATGAGCTCTCTACACCAATATAATCACAGGTTTGGCCAAAAATAAAATCAAGGTTCAACTAATCTCAAATATTTTAATCACAAACAAAAAATTTTTTTCCTTATGCTACTTTCTTTCCATATAGCACAACTGCTATATGGAAAGAAAATAGCATAAGGAAAAAAAAATTTGTAGTCCAAACTTGTGATTTCATCTGCACAGGAACTTTTCAGTATGTAAACTTCTTCCACCAATGCAGATCTGCAACTTGTCCACAACTGAAAGCTTGACTTACCCATTGTCACACAGTATGTAACAAAGAAGCAGATTATAAGGTCATCCTTTTAGCCACTATATCACATTTTTCTCTCAAGAAATTATGTCAAGTGAAAGTGAGTCACTGAAGACTATATTTTAATAGCCTACCACAATGACAGATTGGCGGATAATAAATATTGCTTAATTCATATTTAGTTTAGAAATGAACGTACCATCTGTGGAACAGAAATGCATTTTAAGAAAACTTTAATGGAACTGCATTATAGGAGACTTTCAGGAGTTCTTAACCTTGGGTCCATGAATTTGTTTTAATATTTTGATAACTATTTCAATAATTGGTTCCCTTTGTAATACAGAAATTCCTTTATGCATTCAAAGATAGGGTTCATAGACTTCACCATACCAGACTGCCAAAAGGGTCTGTGGCATAAAAAAGGGTTAAGAATCCTTGCCCAACTGATTAATCAAACTAATTAGGTGGCTAAATGGTTTTCTAGTCAACTCTAACATAGGTCATGACACGAAAAGTTGATAGAAAAATATTAGTTCTGATGTATACCTTACATATATAATTTTCATAATGATTCACTAACAAATTATTTATTTTTGGTAACTTAATGTTCTAATGAAGCTGTTTTCCTTACCTGAAAGTTGCAACTGCTTAGTACTGGTTCAGGTGAACAAAAACAATACTAATTTATATCACCTTCCCTGTGAACTTAAGAGAAAATTCTCACCTGTAGTACCAGACTGAACAGATAATGATCTTTCCAGTTGCAGTGGTGACATCATCTGTATGGTTAATTTTGCTAGATAAATGGCTTCATATTCCTATTTGAAAAAAAATTACTGTAAATGTGCACAATGAATTCTTCCATGCCTACAACAGCAAAACACATAAGACAATACGTATTCTCCATTTTAAAATAAGGTATATGGCTGGGATTTATAAAAACAAACATTATTAGATTTACAAAAAGCATCACTCTAACAAATCAAGGAAGTAGTATGAGCTAGTGATCAGGACAGTAATGAGATGTAAGAGCTAAGTTCCAAAATTGTATTCTCCATTTCCAGTTAGCTGGCTATATGGGCTTAATCAGCTCTGAGGATTATTTCTATAAAATGAGGATAATACCTGTTCTACCTTTCTCATAGAATTGTTAAAAGAATCAAATGAAATTCTGTGATATATCAATTAGATGCTACTAAGTTAATATGTCACAATTGACAGACAAAAATCAATACTGGCTTTGCAATTCCTTAAAATCAAGAATTGTGAATCAAGGATGTTCAATCAAGCATTTATTATGTGCCTATATATATGCCAGAAACTCTGGTAAGTGCTAGGGAAACAAAGACAAAAGTGAAACAGTTCCTGCACTCAGACGCAAAGGGAACAACATATACATACAGGGCTATACAAAACGGTAACCTCGGAGAAGGCACAAGTAATAGAAAAGGCCTCATACAGAGAACAGAGCTTAAACCGAGGATGAAGGAAGCCAGGGATTGATTACAAGAGGAGGTGAAGCATTTCAGGCATCGAGCACAAGAAGTGCAAAAGCACAGAGACAGGAAATGGAATATTGTGCATGAGAAGCAGGAAGTAGATCTGTATGGCTGAATTGCAGAATGCATGGAGAGAGGTAAAAAATACAGGGCTATATCGTGAAGAGCTTTAAATGGCAGAGGAATTTATATTTAATAGGAAGCCAGTGGAGTTTCCTAAATGGGGGGGTAAGGGTGGGAGGAGCACAGTGGGATTTGACATGGTCAAACGTGCACTTAGGAAAACCACTTTATTGGCTCTGTGGAAGATGGATTCAAATTGAGAGACACCAAATAGTAAGGTACTGCAATAGTTCAGGCAAGAGGTACTAAGGATGTGAAATAAGGTGATAACTGTGTGAATGGAGAGCAGTTGGATACAAGAGATGTGGAGGGTGACAAGATTTGTCAAATGACTAGACATCTGGCATGAAGGAGTGAGAAATTTAATGTAATAGTGAGATTATGAACCTGGGTGATTAGAAGAATGGTGATGCTTTTGATGGAAATGGGGAGAGGGGTGGTCTGGGAGGAATGATAATGGACTTGGTGTGGAACACACTGAGTCTGAAATGTTTGAAAATCCAGTATAGGAAATTGGGATGCTGGACTAAAGCTTGAAATGAGTATAAAAAGAAGTGAGGGACTTTTTGAGATAGAGCAGAGGAGGGAGTGCATTCTAGGCACTAGGACAACTGATGCAAAAGGCATGGAGTCAGGAAATGAAGTTTCATATATGAGGAGCAAAAAGCAAAGCACAGTAAGTTCAGTAAATATGTAATGAGGCTGGAAAGATGTGTCCTTATACATATTATAAAGGTTATAAGGGGCATAAAAAATGAAAAAGGAACACGTTTAAAAGCAAGCATAAGGTCCGTAGCCCTAACACCAGGACTGGAGTAGGGTCTCAGTTCCATCTCTATGTCCAATCTGAAACCTCCAGGGTAGGAGCCCTAGACCAAAAAAAGGGAACCTGCAGAGCTTTCCAGTGGCTAAGTCAAGCAGCAGTCTACTGATACTCCAACTAGGGGCAAGCCCATAGCTCAGAACCAAACACAAGTCAGAAACCTGCAGAAGAGAAGGGCACTGATCAGTCTTTGCCCTGGATAAACCCTTCTGGGAGCACTGAAAACTTGAACTGGCCCAACATGGAATTCAATATCCCCATCCCTTCCCACCTGACCTCAAGAGAGCAGCAGCAGGAACAGCCCAGTCATTCTCTCCAGAAGTGCACAAAGCTCAGCCAGGTTCAAAGTCAGAAAGTATGAAGAATGAGCAAATGGAAAAAGACCTACTATGGTGACAGGGATGTTCAAGGTACAAATCTAGAAGAAGAGAAAACATCAACATGCAAGGCCTCAAAGAAAAAGTCTGGGCACAAGTTCAACTAGAATTCCTGGAAGAAGGATGACCCAACAGTTTAAAAAAAATAAGAGTTTAAAAGTTTTTTAAAAGCTTAAAAACAGTTTGAAAAGTTTTTATAAATGAAATGAGAGCAGTAGAGGGAAAAACTGGAGAAGAAATAAAAGCTATGTAAGACAATTAGAAAGGGAATTAACAGGTTGGCATGAGAAATACAAAAACTTAATCAAGAAACTAACTCTCTGAAAGTTATGATGGACCAGAAAGAAGATGATGACTCACCATAGCAAGTCATATCAACATACGTGGTATGTTCTTCAAAGCCACACAAACAGGTCTCCAAACCTTTTCTGAACACATATCCCTATCAGTAAAAATATTTTTGTGCATGTATTTGCATTGAATATATTTCCTTATTTATAATTATATATACTACTGTAATAAATATTATGTACATTATAGAATCTGCACAAAAGTAGAAATTCTTAAAAGGATGATATAAAGATGAAATAGTATTTGATCCTAGAGTCAAAGGGGAGCCACTGAGTAGTGAAGTGACATCGTCAGATCTGTACCCTAGGGAAATAACCTTGGCAGCTGTGTGGAGGGTAAATTGAAGAGGAGAAGGATATGAGGCAAGAGGACCAATCAGGAGACTACTGCAGGAGTCCAGAAAAGAGGTGGTGGTTGTATGAGTAAAAAGAAGAGCATAGATATGAGATGTGGAGGCACAGCCAACAAGATCTGGAAACTGACTACTATGTAGAATAGAATATGACACTCGGGTTTTGACTGGAAGATTGGTGGGGTCCATGAGAATTAACAGAGAAGTATGGTAGACAAGTGAATTGGAGAGAAAAGTAACAATGAATATCTATGATTAAGATCACAATCCATCAATGTGTGCTCATCCTATGTAACTCATTCTGACCTACTCAAAATGAAAAGGGGTGAGGCTCTCACTTGTCTCTGCCTTCCAGTGGGTACCTACCCATTGATCTGGTGATCTAGGGGTGAATTTTTTTAACAGTTTCTGCAGATTTGCTGTGAGGAGTGGTTAATTTAGGTTGTAGATTCCCTAACAGGCTTGAAACTCACCTCAGAAAAAAGAAGGTAAGGAAAACTTGTACAACAACAGGAAACAATGAAGTGGGTGACTGATGGGGGGTAAGGATAAGTGTGGGTGTGTTAGAGACACGCTGTCTTCCCACCTTCCTACTGGCAAGGCTCAGGTCACTCTCACTGTGGAGACCACTAATATAAAGGCTCCAGTGTGGTAAGTACTAAGGATATCATCTTCATTTTACAGATAAGGAAACAAGTCTCAGAGAGGCAACATGATTTGCCCATGGTCACATGGTTATTAAGTGCAATAGGAAGCCACGTATCTTGAGTCCAAGTCAAGCACTCTTTCCACTCTACCATGTTGCCTCCCTAATCCTGTAAATTAAATAAAAACTTGTCTAATCCTGCTTTTCTTATTATAGAATAGAAATCATTTGAGGTTAGTTGTTTCTAAGTTTCAGGGTAGTCAAATGCCTCTAAGCTATTTCTCTCATCTATTATATTTCTTTTAAATGAGTTTTTGTTTCAAAAAGTTTTTGACATCTTTTGTTTTTACATCATCTTGTATTTCCTATAATACATCATCCTTTATTTCCAAATTCCGTTCATGCCTTACAACAAAGAATTTTTAAAAAAGGGGGAAGAGGTAGGTCAGCAAAACTAAACACCACCCAAACCAATATTATACACCTATAGTTAGTCTCCCACCTCAGCAAAAAAGGAAGGTGGGTACATTTTCTTATCTCTTTTTTAAGGACAAGCTTGATCACTGGAAGTACTTAATTTTCAGTTTTGGTTCAACAAAGATTTTAAATTAGTATCACTGTAATAAAAATTATGATGAAGTCACAGAATTTAAGAGTTGGAAAGAGTCTCAGCAACCACCTAATCCAAACCATGCCCTGTAAGAATCCCCACTATAACACAGCTAACAATTAGTGATTCATCCTCTACTAGAAGACATTCAAAGAAGGGAACCTCTGAAAGAATTCCATTTCACTTCAGCATAGCTCTAATTGTTAGAAGTTTCTCCTGGCATCAGGTGTAAATTGACCTCTTTGCTCTGGATTATGCCTCTTGGGCCGAACAGAACAAAACTAACCCCCCTTTTACATGACAGCATTTCAAATACTTAAACATAACTGTCGTGTTTCTCTGAGTCTTCTCTAATGCAGGGTAAATAACCCCAGTTTCTTCAACTGTCCCCTCATTTGTCATGGACTTATGGCTCTTCACCATCCTGGTTGCCCCAGCTTTGGACATTTTCCAGCTTATCAATGTCCTCCAACTATGACACCTAAAACTGAATGTTATACTCTAAACAAGGTCTGGTGAGGGCAGAGTAAAGAGAGGCTATCAACTACTAATTTCTTATAAGTTGTGCTTCTCTTAATGCAGCCCATGACTGTATTAACTTTTATCTGCCACATCACACTGACTCATATTTATCTTGCTCCCAAATCTTTTTCAGACAAACTGATAATTCTGACTTCATCTTTAGTTGTGAAAATTTTTTTGTGCTTACATGTAAGTTTTCCTATTTTACCTTGATTTCATTTTATTACATTTAGCCCAATATTTTAGCCTGTTAATATCTCTTTGGATCCTGATGTGTCCAGTGTGGTCCTTCCCAGCTTATTGTCATCTGTCACATTTGATGACCATGCCAACTATGTTTTTATTCAAGTAATAAAAATGTTAAATTTTTTATAAAAAATGTTAACTAGCACACATCCCTATGGTATGCCCTTGAAAACCTCTTGTCAACCTGACATCAAACCAGTAATCAAAAAGTATTTATCAATTTATCAATCAACATTACTCAATCAACAAGAACCTATTATGGTGACATATGTCTCATATATGAAATTTAGTTAGAAAGAAAGCATTCATTAAATGCTTATTATGTGCTAGGCACTGTGCTAAACATGGGGGATATATATATGTACATAAAAGGAATCCATCTCTATCTGCAGAGTGCTGACATCTGTAACTATTCTTTGATTCCTGCCAATCAACTTGTTCTGAATCTATCTAACTGTATTACTGCCTAGTCTACATCTATCTATAGTACAATAAAAGAGATACTATAGTAATCTGGTATAGTAAATTAGCGAGATACTATAGTACTTTAAAGATCTTAGAATCAAATACAGCACTCAAGCTATAGCTACCACTACATTGGCAATCTTACCTTAATTACACAAATGCCTAAATGAAGAGTTACAGGAGTGACAGAAGTTACCTGAAGCTGATGGACAAATCCGGCATTAGGATTAATACAGAACCTTCTTTCTTGAACATATGTAAATGCCTCCCTTAAAAATAAAAAAAAGTGCTAAAAAAGATGTACCATTAAGTGTCATGAATTTATAATTCTTTCAGAAATATTGCTTTATAAAATAAAAGCATCATTGCAGAGTGATGAAATAAAGAAATCAATGGTCATGGTATCAAGCAAGACCTGAAATCAAATCCTGCCGCAACAATTATTAGCTATGTTAACACTAAGTACATCACTTATTTAATCTCTCTGAGCCTTATTTCTCTCATCTATAAAACAAACTTAATTCAATTTATACTACCAATTTATAGGACTGTTATGAAGAAACTTCCCACACCAAAGATTATTGCTAAGAACAGTTTTCATGTATATTCACATCATATTTCTATCTAGACAGAAGACTGAAAATTGGTCTTGAGCAGAATGATACTTACATACTTTGCGACATAGCCAATGTGCAAATTCATTCTGCTTCACCATACATATTTGTTACAACAGTTTCTCTCTCTCTTTTTTTTTTGGATGAGGGTTGGGGGGGAAGAAAGAATGGTTACGAATAGGATTCCAAAATATATGAAGAAATAGAAGGCCAGAAGGAATCACAGACAAGCAGGGAAGCTTTAACAGTTACACTTTGAATTTATTCTATACTTACAAAGCAAAGCAAGCGCTACATAGTAGAAATTCACAGTTTTATAGACAAATGAACCCTTCCTTTTATTCTACAAAAATGGAAATGGAAATCTTCATTTTATTTCGTGTTTGTCAAGTTCAGAATAAATTTTTTTTAAAAGGAAGATTATCTTGGGTGAGAAAAATCAGCTACCTACATTTAAATTTAAACAGAAGCTACACTTTTCAACCCTAAGTCATAGGAAAAGAAAATAAAACCAGCCTTTAAAATGTACCAAATGTAAAACATTTATTAGCTCATCAAAATATTTTTTTAATCTATCTGTTCAGTACCAGTGTGGTATACAAAGAGCCTTCCGTATGTTTTTTTCTCTTTTTGAGGTAAATTTAAATGGCAACATTAAAAGTTCTAACAAAATTTCTTAGTCCTGTCAAGGAAGCTAACCACAAAGTTAAATGTAAGTAGTTGATCAATAACTATAATAGCACTTTTCTCACCATGCAGACCCAGTCAGCATTATGCCAAAGTTCCTTTTTGCTACAAAGACTAAATTGGCTAGGCTGTGGAATACTTTCTTACCTGTATTTCACTCCAAATGTTTCCATGATGTATGCAATAACTAAGGCAGCACTGAAAAGAAAAATACTTTTAGGATAACTAGTCAAAATTACTCATTAATTAAATATTTTACATAAAGGGTAGGCTCATACCTTCTGGAAATTCCTGCATTTCCATGGACAAGAACTCTTCCTAAAAACCGAGAATTTGGTATTCTAGTTAGACATCAGCTAAAATACATAATGATTTCATAAAGATAATTCACAAAGAAAATAGTCACTCTCTTTAAAAAAGGCTTCTAAAAAAGAAACACTTCTTTAAAGATTTTATTTAAGAATTCAAAAGCCTCTTCAACCCATGATATTTGTACAAATTTACATACTGAGTTTGGATTTTCTTTTTTTAATGTTAAATGTGATTTTATTGGTATAGGGAGCCCCCATGAGAAAATTCCTCTACCAAATCAAATAAGTACCATAACATTATAATTAAACCATGATAATGCTGGACACATCAACAAAATTCTACAAAGAGTTAAAAAACGCTCAGAAAACAAGAATAAATCAACACTAAAACATCTCCATCCTTGTAAAAATGACAATAAACTTGCTATATCTTCCGTTCTAAACCAAGCAATTCAGATATTAAAGAAAAATGCTTTCAATTCTCTCCACTGATAATTAAAATTAAGGCAAGAAAATAACATTTACCTCCTGTTTGTAAACTTCCATCAATAAATTCTTTAGTCTAAAGATAAAAAAAAGTTGCAAAAAAACCAATTGAGATCTACAAAAAATAAATCACATATAACTGAGAACAGTTCAAAGATATAAATATTTTTAAAATAATAAAGTTGCAGAATTTGGAGGTGTTTTTCATTTTCTAACATTTTACTATTTTTAAGTAACTAATGAAGGCTAACTTTCTTCACTTGACAAGTTAAATTCTACCAACAAAACAAAAGAACTACTGAATGATAGCGTCCCCAAAAGACTATCCATAAAAAAAATTTATTTTAAATAGCTTTAAACAAAAACATCAAATACATATAGGATTCCTAGGGAATGAATAATAGTTACAAGAATTTTCCTGATAGCTAAAGACAATGAAGAAGTTCATGGTAAGTAAAAAGGCTGCTATATATTACAAAAAAAGGACTTATGAAGTATGATAACCATAGTAAAAAAAAACATAAAAGAAATGCACAAGCAAAACCGATGGGCTAGTCATACGATAAGAGCAAGGGCTAGCCAACAGGAGAGTGCTCGTGCTTGTGCTTAACTGATATCTTTTCAATGTCATGGAAAACTGTGGGTGGCCCCCCAGCATGTTAGGTGGGAATTTATGGGAAAACATAAGATCAATGGCATGCAATCTGTGTCCTTAGTAGGAGCATACATATCAATGAGGTCAAGGGTGCATTTAAGTATTTTATTTAGTTTTTCAAATTCAAACCTAAGTGCACATTATGTTCTATTTTGTTTAATAGTATAAGAACAGGGACTAGACCTTCGATATCACGGGTATAAGGAACTCCTATATGATGAAATTCCCTCTACCAATGAAGACTGAAATCTTCTGTAACTTACAGTAGCCGCCTGGAGAAAACTTTATAAGAGAACACTTTTTAAGAGGTTAAGCAATTTGCCTAGAGTTTCACAGCCAGTAGTATGTCAACATAAGTTGAGATCTTCCTGGCTCCAAAGCCAGTATACTATCCACTATGCCATGCCTCCTCATTAAACAGTATAGTCAATTAACAAGTATTTATTAAGAGCCTACCATATGCCAGGCACTGTACTAACTACTGTATATTATACTAAACAAAATATATTTGCTTTTGGATGGGTCAGTGTCATCATTATTAAAAAAACTATGATATGCTGCATTTAACTGTGGATAATGTGGCAGACAGAGCTGAATAGCTATGGCCCCAGCAGAAGTCCTCTCAGACTCTTGATGACAATTTGCTTTGTGTTTATTTGTCTCTTTTTCATAGAGCGAAACATGTAAGGGGGCATGACTCCCTAGGAAGTATAACATAGCTGATATAAATGAGTGAATTAAAGGTTGCAGGCTTCTTTCAAAAGGTTTTCCCACTCTCCAGAAGTTAATATTACCAACGCTACTAATGTCCTCTGATTCATGAATACCATTCAAAACATGTATGATTTCTATAGCACTAACACAAAATAGTGTTAGAGAACTTCCTTGTCAGATTGTACCACTCCTCTGTTTCTGATCTACTATTTCTTCATGGACTGTGACCATCTTAAGAATCTGGGCTAAGGTGCTATGGAGAATTTACTCCAACATTTAAGAATGCTTCATCACTGTCATTAGATTACAACATTATTTTTATTTATTTACTTTTAAACCAGGTCTCCCTATCTCACCCAAACTGAAAGTACAACAATTGCTCATGGTCCTAATTTCTGCTGATTGGCATGGAAGCTCTGGCCTGCTCTATCTCTAACCTGGCTTCACACCTTCCTACACAGCCTGGTGGGCCCCTATTTTAAAGCCTTACTATAATGGTGCTAGACTTAATTTGGATACCCAATCAGCTTTTGCCCACTGCAAAACTAAGCAATTTAATAGTCTTAGCCTCCCTGGTAGCAGGGTTTGTGGTGCCTTTATATGAAGTCAGATGACAACACTTCTGAAAACTAAGCCAGTTTTTCCAAGCCCTCTATAATGTACAGAGCAAAGAACATCAAAAACTATATCTTTAATGTTACAGCATTTCAAAGCTCTACCTAAATGCTGAACCAATTTCCTCAAGAAAACTCAAATGATACCCGTGTCCACAGAATGAGTTAACAGGTGGAAGTTAGGAAGATGTTAAAAATATTCCTAGATGCTTCTTCAGGGTGAACTGAATGCCACTGTCTGGCATTAGGAAAAAGTTATCCTGTCACGGATATGCCTATGGATACAGTGATGCCCTTAAGAGGCTAAGCTCTAAAATGACCATCCACACATATAATGCTGCAAAAGTGTCCTAATATCTAATGTGCTTTTACTGGGGTACAATGACAGTCTGAGACATAACTAGCCCTGTTAGAACCTTAGAAACAAATTATAAAGTGTAAAGCTCTCAGCCTCTGGGAAAATACTAATATAACAAAATAAATCTATGGACATTACTGAAGTTTGCTGTAATGTTAAAGATATTCAATTTTTGAAATATGCTTGGTTCTGTGACTCCACCAATAAGCCAATCAAATTTTATTTATTAAATGCTAACTATGCATGCAATGTACTAAGTACTGGGAAGACAAAGAAAAATAAAAATAATCTCTGCCCTCAAGGAACTTACATTCTAGTGGAAAAGACAGTTTGTGTCAAAAGTTGTAGAAAGGTCAAGAAGTATGAGGATTAAGAAAAGGTCATTAGGATTAGCAATTGAAATCATTAGCAATTTTGGAGAGATCAGTTTCAGTTGAATATAGGCTGAAGTCAGAATGCGAGAATTAAGAAAGTGAGAGGAAAGGAAGTAGAGGTAAGTCTTGTATGTACTTACTTATAAATATATTGTCTAACTATTGGGATCTTTTGAGACCTACTGCTTTGTGTCATCTGCATTTCTGATAAGCACATTATTCAAGTCACAGATAATAATGTTAAAAGTACAATGCCTGTACAGATCCTTGGGGCACACCTCAAGACACTTCTTTCCAGAGTTGTCATATTAAACCAATTCTGAAAACAATCACACTGTACTACCAGTTAACCCACATATTGCTAATATATGGCTATGTTATAATTCCCATAGAGGGGATCAAACTTTTCAAGGTCAATGTGATTGATAAAGAAAATTACTCTGCAAATGGCAACATAATCAAGGACTTCCCACAACTAACAATATTCTAGCTAAACTGGAGCTACCTCTGTGCTAGGAGAGGGAATATCCACATCAATGAGTTCACAGGTCCAATATGAAAGAGCAAGTAATATATATATATTTTTTGGTAGCCTCAGTACCTAGTATAATCCATGGCACAGAGTAGGAGTTTGACATTGCTTGCTGATTCATTAATCCATCTAAAAATCAACAAGGGAAAATCACAGTATACGTTTGGTTTTCTGGAGTAGGCCATCCTTAAAAAGTGAATATAAATTGGTTTCTATGTAAGGTTCATATATGCACCAATAAAATTTAATAACCAGTGTAATTTAAACATTCAAGGAAAGTTTGAAAAAGGTACTATAACCCTTAAAACACTACAGAAATATGAATTATTATTACTGGAGTTTTCCAGAAGGGCAGATTATTTTCTTAGATAAACTGCAGAGTTCCATTCAAAACTAAGTTACAGTAAGGCTCAATTGTGATACATACCATTGGGAAAAAACGTATTATATTTTCAACTGGATTATCTGCAATATCCAGTACCAAATACCTGAAAGTAAAATAAGCAATTTAGAATTATCTTTATGCAGAGTAACAAGAAACAGTTAATAATGAACATTTCTTAGACCTTAACTATAAAATATATTAAAAGAATGCAAAATTTAGCAGAATACAATTAACATTCAGTATTCATAATACACCTCATATTGCTTCAAAAATATTCTCAAAGTATTCTTTTAACATGTGTAGGACTATGATAAATAACATCATTCCCAATTTATAGAAGAATCAGATGACACATGGAGGTTAAATATCTTAGTCAAGTTAAAAGATAACACTGAAAATACATTTCTCCTTGGTCTCAGTCCTAGCCTAATGATTTTTTAAAATAGCATTTTTCTCCCATCACGTCAAGACACTTTTTAACATTAATTTTTATTTATTTATTGGGTGAGGCAATCTGGATTAAGTGACTTGCCCAGGGTCACACAGCTAGTAAGCGTCAAGTGTCTGAGGCCAGATTTGAACTCAGGTCTTCCTGACTCCAAGGCTGGTACTCTACCCATTATGACACCTAGTTGCTCCCCAGCATTAATTTTTAAAAAGATTTTTGAGTTCCAAATTTTTCTCCCTCCCCCCTTTCCTACTAATGATTTTTTTTTAAAACGTAAGACTTCTTAAAAGGAACATCCTAATAAAACCTGGTATTTGTTGCTGCTTTACTTTGTATCCACAGGTCACAACATAGTTCTTAGTGCTCTTAATAAATGCTTACTGACAAGACACCTCCCAAGTTGGAAAAGTAGAAGCCCAGTTCTCTGCCATAGCTATTTTGTAAAATCCTAGAATATGCACCAGACCAATTCTTGACCGGAGATCTAAAAAAAACCATAATGGATAATTTTTCCAGCCTAGGTCACTATAGGCAGACAGAAAAAAGAGTTGAGGACACTGGAGAAGGGGTCTAGCCAGAAGAACACTCATCAGAGCCTTCCAGAACAGAAACTGAACCAGAACCTAGGGCTATGTTTTAGGGCAAGGAAAGGTCTGGCAGGGAGGGGAGGTATGATGCAGCTCAGGGAACAGTGCAGCACTGCTGCTTAATTCCAGAAATAAATGAAGACTGAGTGTGGCACTTTAGGGGAACAGTCTTAGGCATCAGTGCAAGAAGCAAGTTCAGAAGCAAGTGGTAGCTCTGACTCTGACCTCAGGAGCACAGTAAGGTCTCAAAATCTAGACTAGTCTGAAACCTGAAACAACTGAATAACCAGAGCCAGTAGCTCAGATCAAGGAGTAACCTGCAATTCTATCTCTCTGACGTTCTACAGTCTTCCAGCTAGCTTAAAATGGCCGGAACCACTGACAGTAGCAGTCTACTGGAGCTCCAAACAGGGGCCAATCCACATTTATGTTGCTCAGGCCCAAACACAAGTCAGCTTGCAAAACTCAGACCAGAAAAGCAGTGATCAGCCTTTGTCCTGGATCAGATTACTCTGGGCACAATGAAAGCTGTCCCGAGCAGCCCTCAAGATCCTTGAACACAGCATTCAATATCTGAAAAAAGCAGCAGATCCTAAGAGTATCCAAAAAAGACGGCCTAGAAAGATCCAGACGTTCTCTCCAGAAGTGTATGGTGCCAGTCCCTAACATAAAGCCTGAATCTGGAAATCAAAACTGGAAGAATGGGTAAAAAAAAGAATTCCATCATAGAGAGCTATTATGGAGGCAGTTAAGTGGCGCAGTGGAAAGAGCTCTGGCCTTGGAGTCAGGAGGGCCTGAGTTCAAATCTTGCCTCAGACACTTGACACTCACTAGCTGTGGGACTCTGGGCAAGTCACTTAACCCCAATTTCCTTACCCCCCCAAAAAAAAAAGAAAGAAAAAAAGAGCTATTATGGTATTAGGGATGTCCACTATATCACACTGAAAAAAGAGAATGACTTCAAAATATCTTCAATCAAAGTCTCAAATAAAAATACAGCATGGACACAATTTCAACTAGAATTCTGAGAAGATATGAAGTAAGAACACATATAACCTATATCAGACTTCTTGCTTTCTTGGGGAGGGAGGAGAGGAGGGGAGGGAAGAAGAAAAATTTAGATCTCAAAATCTTATAAAAAATCAATGTTGAAAACTACCTTTTACATGTAATTGAGGAAAAAATACAATTTACAAAAAAAAATGAAGCAAGTTTTAAAAAGTGAAGACTTTGAAAATGATTTTATAAATGGGAACCCTAGAGGAAAGAATTGAAAAAAAAACTGTATTGGAAAAGATTTGCAAAGAAGATTAACAGTTTATCATAGAAGAACAAAACCTAACCTAAGCAAAAAAGTGATTGAAATTTTGAATGGACCATGAGAAAACAAGAAATAATAAAAATAAAGTGAAAATATTAAAAAAAAAAGAGGAAACATAAGGTATTTTGTATAAAAACAACTGATTTGGAAAACTGATTGATGAAGGACTATTTAAGAATAACTGAACTACTTGGAGACTATGACAAAAAAACAAAAAGCAAAAAGCCAAGTTACCTTATTTCAAGAAACTGTGAAAAAAACTACCCCCAGTATCTTATAACCAAAGAGCAAAGTGAAAACTGATAGAATCTACCAGTCACTACTTCCTGAAAGAAACACTAAAATGAAAATTCCCAGGAACATCATAGCCAAATTCATAACTTCCAGGTTACACAAAAAACTCTGCAAACAGCCAGAGAAAAAGAAATCAGGTATCAAGGAGCCAGGTTACAATCATATAAGATTTAACAATCACCCACTACAAAGGATCAGAAAACTTGGAATATGATATTCCCAAAGACAAAAGACATAGGCTTATCACCAAGAATAACTTATCCAGCTGTAAAGATAAACAACTTCGAAAAACTTAAAAATTGAGATCAATGAAATCAGCAGCCACAATTCTAGAGGGCCCATCTCCTACCCATCTCCTACCCATCTCTTACTACCCATCTCCTGACAAAGGTGATGAACTCACAGTACAGACTGAGACTTTTTGGACATGGCCAATGTGGAAGTTAGTTTAGTTTGACTATGTATATTTGTTACAAAGCATGTTTCCTTTTAAATTTAATGAAGGGAAGAGTTGACAAAGACAAAAATGAAGACTTGTTAACTGATAAAAACACAAATTTTTAAAAATATTAAAAGATGATTTAAAAGTTATTATTTAAAAAACATTTCTAGACCACACAATTTTCATATTGGATTTTCATTTCTAAATCTTCTGGGTTACACCTAAAATGCTAAAATAATATGTAAAGACGACTATGCTTTCTTGACACACACAAAAATGGGACATTAACTATTTCCATGACATGAACATATTTGGAAAAAATGTTATGTTGCAAGCAATCACTGCAGAAAAATTCTAAGGCCAATAATCTTCAGATTTTTAAACATTTAAATACATTTTAAACTACTCAGCTATATCCTAGAGTCAGAAAATTACTACATCATCCTGCAGCCAGAAATAGAAATAGGTCATTCTTCTCTGTCTTTCACTTGTTGGTTGTTTTTGCCTCCTAGGATGCCCAGACTTCTCCCAGTAGCTCCCGACCCCTTCTAAGAGTTTCTACTTCTCTCCTAGGACACACTAAGAAGTGGTTCTCAAAGGCTGTACCTTCAGTTTCACTAAGTGTGCCTTGAAATACTCAACTCTCACTTTCAGCTACAGTTTGCTACACGTTCTTTCCAGCTTGGCTTTCTATCCACATGTTCTAAATAAAAAAGCAAAAGGGTAGACAGGAGAAAGAAAGACAGAAGAATCTCAAGGCCCAGCTAATGAGTTTGGCGGCTCCAGTACTCTGGAACCATTTTCTATTGCCATCTTAGAAGTTCAGCATACCTTGATTCCTTTTCCGTTAGCAAAATAAATTGAGAACCAAGGTTCTACAGGGCCGAGAAGACAAGGTTCATGACACTGAGAATAAAATGCACTCCTCTAGAGGTAGGAAGGCAAAGTTCAGTTTGAGTACATTGTACTCACATTCAACGGTCTCAGGGTGACTGGAAGAAGAGGGTGTGTACTCTGTTTTGAGTGGGAAGTTTATCATGGCCCAGAGAAATGTATATAAAATGAACAGAAGTAATCTGCCATGAAATGAATCCTACCTAGGAGATCACCTACTGGTATAACGAAAATTTGCCAAACCCCCTCCTCTTAATTCAGAGGTGGGAGATTTAGGGTACAGAATGTCAGACATAGTAGAAGTATTGGTCAGTTCTGCTTTTTTCCTCTCTTTTTTAATCTGTTAGAAGAGATGGGTCTTTGGGTAGCATAGGAAATAAATGTACTGTAAAAACAAGACATCACTAAAAATAAAAAAAAAATTTTAAATTTGCCAAATAAGATGCAAAGGGACTATAAAAAAAATTAAGGCATTGTAAAATGTAAGATATCATTGTTATACTGAGTACATTTAGTGACCTTATGTTTATGGCAGCTAGTTTATGAAGTAATGAGATATTGAAATGACCCCTCAAGGGTAATATTATTAAATGCAATATTGCTCTTTGCTGGAATATAAAGTTGTCCTTAAGAAAATCTGGCAATTTATTTAGGTAATGATAGGCCTTAAATCCTAGGGTACTTAAAGGAAGCTCTATGTTTCAGGGGTTTGGTAACAATGGTTTTGGTAACATTATCTTTAAGTAAGCAGTGTTTGACAAAGTGCTGTTTCAGAAAATAAATGATTTAGGTTAAGAAGACACTCCTAATTAATTTATTGTAAACTTTGGCAAAACCAAGTGTATAAGATCATAAATGATCTTGATTTTAAAATCACCTGGAACAAGTCATTTTTCTATGAAATGAAAGAGAAGACCATTTAACAAAGCTTCACACTAACAACAACAAGCTTTTATTAGATTTTCTGATGCCTAGTATGTGATATATTGAATCCCATTTCCCAAATTTCCCCAACCCCAAATTACACCTACACACATTTCTTACCTAAATAATTGTTGAAAGTTTGGTTTAATAAAGTTTGCTTCAATGTTTTGTCTTATACATATTACATGGGTTATTCCATGTTTCTGTAGTATAGGTAGCTGTAAAAAAAAGTATAGAAGTTTAAAATATGAAATGTCTTCTTAAACATACATTTTAATAACATATTATAATCTTCAGAATATGAAGTTCTCATGTTCTATGTATTTGTTGGGGGAGAGTGCGCTGACCAGCTGTCACTAACAAGCTGCCAAATCCAAGAGTTCCTGGAATAGCAATGCTCCCTCAGACCAATGCATCCTGGCTTCTAGTCCAACCCTTGCAGAAAATGTCCAAGGAAGCAACCTGTTCCCCATTAGATGCTGCAGCCCCAAAAGCTCATCAGCAGCCAGAGCTACTGAAGGATGTAGAAAAAAAAATCTCACCATCAAAGTCCTTGGCACTATCAAATGGTTCAACATTAGAAACAGATATGGTTCTATCAATGGGAATGACATTATAGAATATGTATTGCCATTTGCTTTGCTGTTGAATGCTAAGGACAACTGGGCTTTTCCATCTGACTTGCAATAAAAACTCCTACATGCATTGTCTTCCATCATCAGAAGTGAGATCCTTAAAGCTGGGGTTGGCTTCCTTTTCTATTTGTATCCCCTGTGTTTAGCAAAGTGCTTTGCATATAGCAAACATTTAATAAATACTTTTCCATTCATTCACAACAGAGAAACCAGAAATGGTGATCAGAGTTAACATAGTATAGAATTACATGAGAACTAATACAATGAATTTCCAGACAATTAAAATATATTTTACACAGTGCTATAGCCATAACAGACACGCAATAAGTACATAAAACAAAATTTCTGAGCTGAGGAGGCCTTATTTTACAAACTGAGTCACACCACAATGGCTTTTCCAAACCTTTTCATCCCTCCTCAAACCTCCCATAACCCTTCCTTTCTTGCACCCTCAGTTGAGAACTCTGCCACATATTTTGCTAAAAAAAATATTGAGACCATTTGTCAAGAATTGGCTCTTCTCTCCAGTTCCTTCTTGCATATCATTAACTGACTACAATTTGAATTAATTCACAATCCCTGAACACAAAGGTGGGAGGAGGGGGGAGGGAGAAGGAGAGATCATCACACTAGGATTTATAATAGGCCACATTTAATACCTAATTGCATGATCTACAAGCAATTAACAGAGTTGATTGTTGGTCACCAGTGAAACACAAAATTGCACATTAACTTTTACAGCAATTCTCTAGAGTTCTCAGATAGATGACATCAGTGACATCATCAACATCAGCAACAACATCATCATCATCATCATCATCATCACCATCGTTAGGATTTATATAGCACCTACATGCAAGGCACTATGCTAAGCACTTTATAAATATGGTCTCATTTTTATCCTCACAGTAACTCGAGTATTTTATCCTCACAGTAACCCTGGTAGATGTATTATTATCCCCATTTTATAGATGAGGAAACTGAAAGAAACAAAAATTAAGTGATTTTTTCCAAGGTCATAAAGCTAGTAAATATCTGAGGTTGAATTTGAACGTAGGTCTTCCTGGATCCTGGCCCAGTATTCTTCTTCACTACACCACCTAATTGCCACCCTTGTATTTTTTTCAGAACCATAACTAGTAATTTTTGCACCTGAGGCAAGACAAAAGAAATGAATCCTCTGATGGGGTTGGAAAGACAGAAACCTAGGGATACCAAGATGGCAAGTTTATTCTATCCCTGTAGATCATCTGGTAGCTTCTAACTCATCTAGTATTTACAGAAATTTATTACAGTTATCCCTTCCACATTGCAGGCATTAGGGGTGTGGTGCCCCTGTGATCTAGAAAATCTGAGTAAAATTTTTTGACTCTCCCTCAGTACCAGAGAGGAAGTCTCATTTATTGCAGTTTTAAAAGATAAAATATGTTGATATTATACAATATTATACACGCGTTTTATGCATTTCTAAGTTTCTAAACTTTTTTATGTTGTATGCTGGCCTTCACATGTCATCTGCAGGTTCTGCAAAACTCCCCCAAAATTCCCATTTAAATTCTTATGCTGATCTATGATATATCAAAACCTCCATGGGAAAAGTCATGATGTAGAAGAGATAATTGTACATGCTATGTACAAAGCCCTACACAAGGTAGTGGATATAAAAAAAAATCCCTTCCTTCTAGGACCTATACTAGGAAATAATATAATATCTAAACAGATAAATATAATATAGTTTGAGTAGGGAGAGAGTACTAACAGACAGACAGATAAGGAAAAACTTGTAGGAAGTAGTACATGAACTCAACCTTGAGGAAAACGAGGGATGAATATGTATGTATCAAATGAGTTAGAGTTGAGTGAGCAGAATAATATAAGATGATATATTATGGCCACAAAAACTCTAAGTCTTCAAAGCACTGGGCAATAGAATGAGTAAAGAGGACTTAAGAAGTCTAATGATAAAAAGCATGTTTCTGACTTCTTGTCAGAGTGATCATGGAACAGAGGTGTAAAAAGATATGAATTTACAATATAGACAATGTGTTGATTTGTGTTGCTTGATTATATGTATTAACTAATATGTATAGTTTAGGAAGGGCTTCTATTACAGGGATATAAAAAAAGGAAAGAAAAGAAAGCAAACAGCATCGATGAAACATTTTGAAATACCCAGAAGAGAGTAGAAGTTACATACACTTTAAAAAAAGTACATGTTAACAGCAGTGAACAGTTTTATAAATAATCCTTTCATCTGTTCTTCATAGTTATTGGTGTTTAAGTCCATAGAATTAAGAAAAAAAAAAGAATGCTTAGGGATATTTAATATTTAATTTAGTGCCAAATTAGAAACTTCATGAAGCCTATAAATATTTTTGCTACATAAGCTGAGATCTAAAGAATTCCTAGTCTAATGATGTCTATTAGATGACAGTACTGATAGTACCCACTGGAAAAGAATCAGCAATTATCACACCTTCAATAAATAAATATATTTACTAAAAAGAAGAGACAATGTTAAAAGGCAGCTAGGTGGTACAATGGATAGAGTGCCAGGCCTGGAGTCAGGGAGACTCATTTTCCTTAGTTTAAATCTGGCCTCAGACACTTCCTAGCTGTAGGACCCTGGGAAAGTCACTTAATTCTTTTTACCTCAGTTTCCTCATCTATAAAAGGAGCTGGAGAAGTGCCAAGAAAACCCCTATTGGTGTTATAAAGAGTTGGACACAACTGAAATGACTCAACAATAATAGACAATGTTAGATTTTAGATCCTACTATGTTCTGCATATCAAATGGCTGGCTAACATTATAATTCCCCACCAAAAAGTTTTCAATACAACGTACTGAGGGAATTTTCCCATGGGCATATATTTCTGATTTTACGCCGAGTTCAGGGTCAGTTTGGCTAGAATATGGTGAATCAATACTTTGAAATAAGTCTGAAAGGTATTTTCATGGAAGATGGATTGGAGAGAGAAAAGACTGGATGCTGGGAGTATATACTAGGCTCTAGGATTAGAAAAATAGGAAGGAAATAATTTTAACTCTCAGGGAACAACGCAGAAGACAACTACATATATGAATATGCTGTATACGGTACAACTGTAAAATGAATACAAATATACAAAGTAGTTACATATAAAGTAAGGTGATAGGGAGGGCCCTAGCAATTGAGGGGATCAGGAAAAGGTTCATGGAGAAAATGGTGCTTTAACTGCGTGTCTTAAAGGAAGAAAAGGATTCTTTGAAATGGGGATAAGGAGGAAGTACATTTCAGGAATGTGAGATGAGAAGTGCAAAAGCACAATGAAAGGAGACGGAAGGCCAAGGGGTGAGGAACACAGTGTAGTCAGTCAACAAGCATTTATTAAGCATTTATGCGCAAGGCCCTGTGCTACCTCCTGGAGACACTAAAAAATAGAAAAATAGTGTTTCTGAGGGGCTTAAAGGCTAGAAAGACAGGTTGGGTCCAGACTACGGTTTAGTTTTTAAAAGCAAAGAAGAGAAATTTAATATTATCCTAGATGCAACAGGAAGCCACTAGCATTAGAAGAGGCAGTCAGATTTGTGCTTGAGGAAAATTATTTTGGCAGTATACAGGATGGACTGGAGCAGGGAACAGTATTAAGGCAGGGAGACTGAGAGGCAATGAAAGCCTAAAATAAGTGAGCAGCTGAATGAGCAGACAAAAGAGTTCATATTCGAGAGCTACTGTGAAAAAAGAAACAAGAAGTGGCAACTGATTGGATATGTGTGGTAACAGAGAATAAGGACTCCAGGATAATGGCAGATTATTAACCTAGAAGGATGGTGGTATCTTTGATAGAAATAGGAAAGTTTGAAAGAGGGAGTATTTTGGGGAGAAGATTGGGGCATACTGACTCTGAAATATCTCTGGGACACCAATTTGAAATGTCTGATAGGCAACTGGTGACGTGGGGACTGAAGCACAAGGGAGAGAGACTAGGGCTGGATACATATATCTTGGAGCCATCTGCAAAGAAACAAGTTTAAACTCATGGCATTTGATGAGATTACCAAGAGAGAATAATGTAGAGAGAAAATAGAAGAGGAAGCAGGACAGAAATCTGGGGAACACCCACACAGTTAGGGGTATGGATGTTGAGCCAGTAAGAGACTAAGGAGGAACAATCAGACAGATAGGAAGAGAACCAGAAGAGCATAGTGGTAGTCACATCTAGACTTAGAGGGTAATGATAAATGAAATGGGAGATAGAGGTGGGGGGACAGGGTGTAAGAAGCAGAGGTAGGTTTGGAGACAGGTTGGGAAATATAATGAGTTCTGTTTTTATTTTAGGATTTCTATGTGACATCCAGTTGGAAATGTCCCACATGCTGTATGGTTCTGTAGCTTAACTGTTGAATTCCTAACCATTCTTTGAAGGCCAACTCAAATGGTATCTCTCCCTCAAAAGGCTTCTCTTCCATCACCCAAGCTGATTAAGGTCTTCCCCCAATAGAGCAGAAAGAGGACTAGCTCTGCAGTCAGAGGACCTGGGTTCAAAATCTACTTTGATCTTTGTTACATGTGTGACCTTTTGAAAGTTACTGAATTTGTCTGGACTTCAGTTTCCTTAACTGCAAATGAGCAGTTTGCTTCAGATGGCTTCTGAGATTCCTTTCATCTCTAAATCAATGCTCCCTCAGACTTCTGTAACCTTATAAAGCACTTCTGTAATATTCTGTGTTACGGTCATCCGTTTTTCAACCTTACCAGCCTACACTGAGCATGACTTCAGTGTACTGACCATGTTTCATCTAATCCCTACCCTGAGAAGCTAATATAATATCCTGCCTGTTAAATAACTAATTGCTTAATGTATTTGAGTCACTTAATCTCTCAGTGCTCTGGTCAACTCTAAGACTAAAAGCTGCAGAGAAAGTGCTGACCTGTACTAGCTGAGGAAATTTCTTTATCTAGGATGTTCTCTACTAATGAAATCGCAAATTCAGTCTCTAACCCCTACTTTACAGAAATGGTATATATTAAAATAGGATTCTATACTTTTATTTCTGTAATCACACAAGTACATTGATTCACTTTGGGTCTCTAGCCTTACTTATTTTATTTATAATCCATAGTATTCCAAAAGTGGTTTCAGTGATATTTTCCAAAGTAGGGAGGGAAAGCTGATAATCTATTTAACTGCCTAAATATGCAAGAGAACATGAAAAGAATGCTTAAAAGCTAATTCTTGTATCCTCAAGATTTTTTCAGATCTAAAGTTTAAGTTGTGCAAATATGTATCTGTGTGCCTTCAAGATAATGAAGTCCAATCAAGTGGAACTTAAAAAATTACATCTCTTTTACCTCCAAAGAAAAAAAATCAGCATAAAAGAAAATAGTTTCAATTATTCAGGAGCTAATTTCAACATTTAACTTTTTTTTGGCATATCAAAATATGTATTTCATTTGGCAAGATACAATTATTTTCTTTTAGATTTTTGTTCTTTTTAAAAATTAATTTATTTTGAATTATCAACAATCACTTTCATAAGCTTTTGAGTTTTAAATTTTTCTCCCCCTCCCTCCCCAAGATAGTGCACAATCTGATATAGGCTATACATATACATTCCTATTAAACGTATTTTGACGTTAGTGATGTTGTAAGGAAAAATTAGAACAGGAAAGAGGAAACCACCAGAAAGAGGAAACAAAACACAACAGAAGAAAAAAAATAGCAAATAGTATGCTTCGATCTGCATTCAAATTCCATAGTTCTTTCTTTGGATGTGGATAGCATTTTCCATCATGAGGCCTTTGGAGATGTCTTAGATCCTTGCATTGCTGAGAAGGGTTATGTCTATCAATATTAGTTATCGCACAACATGGCTGTTACTATGTACAACGTTCTTCTGGTTCTGCTCACTTCACTTAGCATCAGACCATACAAGTCTTTCCAGGTTCTTCTGAAGTCAACCCGTTTAACATTTAACTTTATACCAGCCTAGCACAGAACAGTTTTCTAAAGTGATTTTTATGTTTAGTCCTTAAATATCTGTTCTTTTAAATAAAACATTAAGAAAACAAAAAGGCAAAATAATACATTTAGGTTGTTGTTTTTGAGTTGTTTCAGTCATGTTCTTATAACCCCATTTGGGGTTTTCTTGGCAAGATAATGGAATGATTTGCCATTTCATTTTGGAGAATGAACTGGAGTTCATTTTACAGATGAAGAACTGAGACAAACAGGGTTAAGTGACTTTTCCAAGATCACACAACTATAATAAGTGTCTGAGGTCAAATTTGAACTCAGGTCCTCCTGACTCCAGGGCCAATGTTCTATCCACTGTGCCACCTAGCTGCCCTCATAAATTCAGAATCAGATTAATTTACAGCTTTACATAAAACTATAAAGATTTATAAACTTAAAACTGCACTAAGACTTTTTGGGATACCATGTCTATGCACTGTCTCTACAATTCCCACCCCCAAAAGATTTCTTTTGTTATTAAGATAACCTGCAACAGAAAATTTGGTTAATAAATTATCTCTATGAACATAACCTTAAAAAGTCATACCTTGCTTTTCATAGCTGAAGAATATGGGCCCAAAAACAATCCAGGTAAGATTTCCTAAAAGAAAAATCAATTACAATTACCAACTAAAATCCACAAATACTGATCAAAGATAAGTTTAGAGCAGGAAGAAAACCTTAGAAATCATCTAGCCAAGCCACTTTATTATACAGATAAAGAAACAAAAAGGCCGAGAAAGGAAATGACTTGCCCAAGTCACGCCATTCATTCAGTAACAAAGACAAAATTAAAATTCAGTCCCTGACTCCCAAGCCAAATGTCTTTTCTACTAAATCACACCATTTTATATTTTGTTCACTGATTTCAGAATTTTCATGGAAGTATAAAATACGTTCCAAAGCTTCTTGTTATTTAGAGCAGCCAACAGCTGAAACAAGAAATGTGTGCTATATGCTAAAATTAAAAATATTAAAACGGACTTTAAAACCTTACCTTTATGAGCTATGTTTAGAACTCATTAAAACAGCTAGTTCTAATAAAAACATTAGATATGGCCACTTTTTAGAAGAGTGCCATCTCCAAATCTTCATGGCCTCTTATTCTCCATGCCTTGCTAGATTCTACAGTCAAACTGGAGGAAAAAAACCAACTCCTTTTTCAGCCAGTTCAAAAGCATTAAAAGACACTGTGATGGCAGGAATACAGTTTCTACTGTATATTTAACAAAAATACCATAAATTTAATATTTGATATAAAAATTGTACCTTGAGTCTAAATAGGCAGCCTCAAAAACAGCTGGTGTTAGATACAGGTATCCATTCTAAATAAGCTCAACATATCAAATTATGAAATCAGAGATTTGATAGAGCAAGTAAATATTTACTCTACAAAAGCTGAAGAATTTTCACTTTGGTTATGTGTTAGATGATAGTCCCTACTGGCTAAGTGTAATACAGCAGTCCAGCCCTATTAAAATATCATAAATATCTGTACTAAAAAGAGAGAAGCAAGTTGAAAATGACTATGTCTTATAATGCATGCTTCCCAACATGTAAAAAGGCTCATCATTAACTTAATTCCTTTCATATCAAAAGTTTTCAACTCAATATTTTCCCACGGGAAATTAGGCACAATAGAACTGTTGTTAGAATATATGATCTAATGTTTTAAATGGTTATAAATATATTATTCTCATTTTACAGAACTGATTTACTCAAGTTCATACAAATTGGACAAGAAAATCTGTAGCTGAATCTCAAGCCTGTTTTCTAATAATTATTCAAGATGAGGTCAACAGCCTTGTTTTCTAATAACTAATCAAGATGGTGTCAACCCTATAATACTTTGGTCTACATTCTAAATAAAAGAACATTTACTCTCAATTTTGCTGGTCATCTGATTTAAGATATTTACTTTAAGCAAAGAGATAATTAATGCATTTACATGACAAAACTATGAGCTAAACAAAAATTAAATGGAATAAAGGGTAATATCATACCTGCATCTCCCGCCTCATGGGATAGGTCCAATCCTTAAAAACACACACACAAAAACCAAAAGTTAAGTAAAAACTTTCCTTCAATTTAAAAAGCAAGAAAACGTTATAAAGTACAATATAATTTTAAAGATTATTAGATAATAATTTTATATTGATAATGTTATGTACAAGTAACATGAAACAATAACGAAATATATTATAATTAACTTCTAGAGATATGATTCTGATTTTATTAACAGTATACACTAATATGTTATCACTAATCATATTGAAAAACAATAGATACTCAAAAGTGTTTCAACATATACTTTAAAGTCACAGTAGTGAAAGAACCAGAATTTTAGCGTAGGTCCTTTCACACTTGATCCCATCCTTTTCCCAGTGTTCTTTAGGTAAAGCACTGAGAAGCAAGAGTAAAATGAGAGGAAGATGACCAGGATTATAAGACTACCAGAGATAATACCAGGACTGGTAGAAGCAACTGGGGCTTTTTGGAAGAAAAAATTTAGAGTAGACATGATAGCCGTCTTCACTTGTCTGAGGGGCTGCTAAATGAAAGAGGGATCAGACTTGTCCTTTACGGTTTTAGATTCTCCAAACAAAATCAGTCCTACTGTAAAATTGTAGATGTTAATTTACCAAATGTAATATTTTTTCTTTTTCTACTTATTTGCTTTGTTGTGTTGTTTACAAATTTAATAGCTACTAAACACTACTAAGTATGACCTCTGTGTTAAAGATAATCTTTATTTCTTCCATCTATTGTCATCAAAATTTTTAATTTAATATTTTATTTTTCCCAAATTAACATTCATTAAAAAATTTTTTTGAGTTCCAAATTTCCCTCCCCCCTCTTGCCACGAGAAGGCAAGCAATTTGATATAGTCCGTGCTGTCATATAAAACATATTTCCATGTCAGCCATGTTGCAAAAGAAAACACAGACCAAAAAACTCCCAAGAAAAATAAAGTAAAGAAAAAGTATGCTTTGATCCACATTCAGACTCCACATTCTCTAGAGATAGCATTTTTCATCATTAAGTCCTTCAGAATTGTCTTGGATCATTGTGTCGCTGAGAAAAACTACTATGCACATGTTCTCCTGGTTTTGCTCATTTTATTTTGCATCAGTTCATGTAAGTCTTTCTAGGTTTTTCTGAGAGCATCTGGCTCATCATTTCTTATAGCACAAGAGAATACATCACAATCATATACCACAACTTGTTCAGCCATTCCCCAATTGATGAACATCTCCTCAGTTTCCAGTTCTTTGCTATAAACATTTTTTTACATATAGGTCCTTTTCCTTTTTGGTTTTTAATCTCTTTGTGATATAGACCTATTGCTTGGTCAAAGGATATGATACTTTGCGCATAGTTCCAAATTGCTATAAAGAATGGTTAAATTAGTATACCACTTTACCAACAGTGCATTAGCATCTCAACTTTCCCAAATTCCCTCCAACATTTGTCATTTTCCTTTTCTGTCATATTAGCCAATCTCATAGGTATGGCGTGGTAGCTCAGAGTTGTTTTAATTTGCATTTCTCTAATCAATAGTGATTTAAAGCATATTTTCATACGACTAGAGATAGCTTTGATTTCTTCATCTGAAAAATGGCTGTTCATATATCCTTTGACCATTTATCAACTGAAGAATTGCTCTTATTTTTATGAATTTGATTCAGTTCTCTACATATTTGAGAAATGAGGTCTATATCAGAAAACTTGCTATAAATTTTTTTTCACATTTATGATTACTATGTATTTCCCTCTATCCTATTTTCCCCATTTGTCCTACTCTTGCTTTTACCCTCTATTCTCAAAAGAAGCCAAAAGCTTCCAACTACCACCTCCCCCAATTCTCCCTCCCTTTTATTAGCACCATCCCCCTCTCTTATCCTCTTCTCCTTCTACTTTCCCATATGAGAAGACAAACTTCTATACCCAACTGAGTGTGTATGTTATTCCCTCTTTGATCCAATTCTGATAAGAGTAAGGCTCATAATACTCCCTGTTCTCCACCTTCCCCTCCATTATAGAAACTCTCACACCTCTTTTATTTCAGATAATTTGCCTCGTTCTACCTCTCCCTTTTCCCTTCTCCCAGTGCATTCCTCTTTCTCATCCCTTAATTTTATTTTATTTTTTAAAGATAATCACCACATTCAACTCATACCTATGTTCTCTATGTATACTCCTTCTAACTGCCCTAAGAATGAGAAGGTTTTAAGGAGTTACAAGTTATCACTTTTCCATGTAGGAATGTAAACAATTTGACCCTCTTGAAGCCTTTATGATTTCTCTTTCTTGTTTACCTTTTTATGCTCCTCTTAAGTCTTGTATTCGAAAGTCACCTTTTCTAGTCAGCTCTGGCCCTTCTATCAGAAATGCTTGAAAGTCCTCTATTTCATTGAATTTCTACTTTTTCCCCTAAAGATTACACTAAGTTTTGCTGGGTAGGTAATTCTTGATTGTAATCCTAGCTCTTCTGCCCTCTGGACTATCATATTCCTAGCCCTCTGAGCCTTCAATATAGAAAATGCTAAGTCTTGTGTTATCCTGAATGTGGATCCACAATATTTTAACTGTTTCTTTTTGGCCACTTGCAATATTTTCTCCTTGACCTGGGAGCTCTGGAATTTGGCTATAATATCCCTGGGAATTTTCATTTGGCGATCTCTTTCAGGAGGTGATTGGTGGATTCTTTCAATATCTATTTTACACTCTTGTTCTAGGAGATCAGGACAGTTTTCCTTAACATAATTTCTTGAAAGATGATGTCTAGGCTGTTTTTTAGATCATGGCTTTCAAGTAGTCCAATAATTTTTAAATTATCTCTCCTGCATCTATTTTCCAAGTCAGTTTTTTCCCCCAATAAGATATTTCATATTTTCTTCTATTTTTTCATTCTTTTGATTTTGTTTTATTGTTTCTTTATGTCTCATAAAGTCATTCGTTTCCACTTGCCCAATGCTAATTTTTAAGAAATTATTTTCTTCAATGAGTTTTTGTACTTCCTTTTCCATTTGGCTAATTCTACTTTTTAAGGTGTTCTTTTCTTCGGTAAGTTTTTGTGCCTCTTTTTCTATTTGGCCAATTTTGCTTCTTAAGGAGTTTTTCTCTTCAGTGAAAGACTGGCCTCCCAATTCCTTAGTAAGCTTTTGTCTTGTGAGAAAACTTTTCCTTGTTGCTAATCAGGACACTGGGGGGGTGGGGGGGTGGGAAGAGTGCCTTGTCTGGTCCAAGGAGTTTTGTCCCTGGCTGGCTCAGGGGCTCTTCCTCCTGCCAGATTCCCAAGACCCACACCTCTGACAACTCCCTCCCTGTCTGGTATATTCCCTACACTTTCCCATCCATAGCTCCCAAAGACACCTGGACCTTTAGATTATCTAATTAGTATTCCTGGCATTCCTTTCCTATGCCCTTTTCCATATAAACCCCAGCTCCATCCTCAGTCTCTTGCAGGTTTCTTAAGGATCCTTGCCTGCTGAAAAGCATAACAATAAATCTTTGCCAACTTAACTCAAAGAATGCTCGACTCTGTGAATTCATTCCAGATGATCCTGTCCTGTACTCCAGTCTTTGACAGGGTCTCTGAACCTCTCAGGCTACAACAGTAATTCTACTAATATACTTTTCTGTTTTTTAACCAGTAGCCACAAGTTTTGATGACATCTACTCCATAATTTGAAATCTCATTCATATTTTATCTCATTATTTCTCTTACACTTTTAGATAATTTCTTCTCCTAGATTAATTTTATTATCTTATCTAGTTCAAAAAAAGTATACCTTTACTACATGATTAGTACAGCACTAAATTTGTAAGTTATTTTAGTTAGTATAATGACCTTCATTAAACTGGCACAGCGCAATCCTGAGCAGTGAATCTCTCTCCAATTATGGAAGTGGCCTTTTATTTTTTGCCAGTCTTCCAACTATATTTCTGTAAATCTTATGTTTTAATGAGATAACTTCCATATATCTTACCTGTTGCGTGGTTTTTTAGAATGATCATTTCTGTTATCATCGTTTCTTTGGGTTTTTGGGTTAATACTATGTTGAAATTCTGATTTTTGTGGTTTATTTTGTAACCTACTCTAAAGAGCTTTTCTAAGCACACCATTAGGTCATTCACAAATAGGGACAGTTTTGTCTCCTCTTTGCTCGTATTTATATCTTTAATTTTGTTCTTGTCTTACTACCACAACTAATTTCTAGTGAAATAACTGTAGGAAGATTGGGCTTTCTTGCTTTACCCTTTTCTACTGAGTTCTAATGTTTCTCCATTTCAACGTTAGATCTTTGTTCAAAATAAATGCTTTCAATATTGTATTCATTTTAAAAAAATCAGAAACACAATATGTTTATTTTCATAAGAACCTTTAAGACAACCATGGATCAAGCTATACTCTAGACAAAATCACATTCCCCACACTCATACTGATAAAAATAACTGACCTTTCTAGAGTGGTCGAAGTCTTTTAAAAAAAATGCTCTCTGGTCTGTTATAAAGTCTTTAAGGTTTCTTTAATGTTCCTTTATCAAGATTTCTTCTTTTTACTTGCTTATTAATTTTCTATTATTTTAATTGCAAACTAAATTCACTAATCTTTTTGTTTTGTTAATACAATTATTCCTTCCACATCTCAGGCGTTAGAAGCACCTGCACACTAGTGATCTGGAAAATCTGCACAAAATACCTTTGTACCAAAGATGTCTGAATTTTTTTTTCTTTTAAGGGGATGTTTATAATACCCTATTGTAAAATTTGGGTTAAGTATTTGGCTCTGTGTTGCCTGCTGGCCTCTGGGTGTTGTCTCCAACTTCTGTAAAATTTCTTATGCCAACCAGTGATATATTGAAACTGTGATGGAGAAAGTCATGATGTGGAAGGGACAACTGTACAACTTTTCAGAGACACACAAATATTTTTCTGAGGATTTTCAGAGAGGTCCCAAAACTCTGATATGTTGCTTTACTATTATTATTTTGACCATAAATTTGTGTCTATAATTTGTTCTGTTTCAATT